TCTTTCCTGAAAGATGCAGGGCTTCTTGTGAGCGCTATCGTGAAAGCGTCCATGATTTCCAGCCGCTGCTGCGTGAAATCATTCTCCTTGCAGCAATTCTTTCGGCATGCATCTGTAGGCACTGACGGCCAGAGCCGTGACCCAAGATGCTTCGCAACATGCCCAGGATGTTTTGGAAGTCAAGCCTGCCTGCAGGTGCAGGACAGTTGCAGCTGCAAGCCAGCATGAACGTATTCCAACCCCTAAGCAGTTCGGAAAAAGCGCTTGTTCCGGGACAAGAGGTGCTAGATGTCGTCGTGGAGAACCTTGGAATGGAGCTGGAGAAGGCTGGACGCGGTAGGTAGCGCGGTTTCCTGTTGCTATCTTGTCTCTTTGCCTGACGAGTAAACGCGAAGTCAGCAAGATCTGGAAATGCGTGGCCTTGAAACCAAGAAGCATTCACCATTTTAGACTCCGGCTGGCTGGCAGGCTGAACTCAAACTATAGCTAGAACTAGACCGTACAGCCTGTGCCGCTTTCAACCTAACCTGGGTGTTTTGGCATTTTTTGTTGGAAGCTTTACATCTTCAGGAACCAAAGAGGAGACAACATCACAGAAAAAAGAGCAAGCTTCGTTATTGAGAGGGTCCGGGGGCCAGGTTCCAGTGCCCTTGGAGCTTTTGCTGGATGTCTTGGAACTTCCAGAGAACAAGCTGAAGGCAGGCCCTACTGCGATAGTCATTGGTCCATTTTTGCATTATGATTATGACAGGGACGTGGGCAGCAACAGCAATTGAGTAGCATGATGCTCAAGCAGCAGCAGCAGCAGCAGAGGGTGGTACAGGCCGTGGTGGTAGCGATTAGTCGCAGCAGTTGCACTTGCATTTGCAGTAGCAGTACAGCAGCAACAGCGGCAGAACAGGCCGCGGCAGCAGCAGGAGCAGCAGCAGGAGGAGTATGTGCAGCAGGTGGTTGAGAAGGAGGAGGAGCAGCAGTCCTTGTCATTGTCGTTGTCGTCGTCAATCTGACAGCAGTACTGGTCGTAGCAGGTGCCGTAGGCGCAGTAGTAACAGGGCATTCGTGAAAACAGTCAGGGCCGGCAGCTCTTCAGATACCAGTGAAGGCTTCTCAGCGAGTCCTGGACGATGATGTAGCGGATCCTGCGCAGAGGTCATGCCACCTGAAGAAGACTGAACAAAACAATTGTCGATGCCGAATTGTCAATTTAACGCAAACAGGTGGCGAACGTTCCCAGGGCCCGCCTACAAAACCAGAATTTCGGTCCTACTATATGCATGTATTGAGTTTG